TAGATAGATAGATAGATAGATAGATAGATAGATAGATAGATAGATAGCCCTTTATACGTCCAACATTTAATTTCAAATAAACATTCATAAGCTCCGTAGAGAAGACGCTGTCCGAACCAAAGACGAAACGCAATTATGCGACCCCTGAGGTCAATCAGTCAGTCCCTGACCCCCTAATCCAATGGTATCCACCCCAGAAGAAATCCACCAGTCTCTTCATCAGTGGCACGGCTCCAGAACATAGACGCAGCCAGATTTTTGGCGACCAAAGGGCAACTGGGGCTGGACCCGTTTCCATCAGGACAATCAGGCGCTAATTTTCTCAACTAGACCCTCACAGTATTTTTTTCCAGAAAGTTCCCATTTCCCAGAAACACACTCCAGACCTTGATTCCTTCTGTAATATAGTTTTGACATGATTGACTTAGAAAAACTGGGATGTCATCAGCATATGCTGACGAATTAACTGCATTGTTTGCGTCGTCTGCCAAGTTTAACCCAGAGAGACTCAGAGCTATAGGTATTTAGCATCCCGGATAGGGGGCATCCCTGAAGATTCCTCTCTGAACAGCTAAGTTCTCCCCCAACCCTGAACAGTACTGTGGCTCTTGAGTACATTAACGCAATCCAGTAAATACATATTTTTCCAAAAGCAAACGCTTTAAGCGTTTAAAATCATTATGATCGCCTCGATCAAAAACCTTTTCTTGATCTAGAGAAAACAAACCCACATCAGGTAGGCTACCTGTAATTGAAATAGGTCAATAATGTCTCCAAGTAAAAACAAACTACCATGTTGCCTTTCTGGCTGGCGTGGACAATAGTGTCCATGCATTCTTTAAGTCTATCAAGACCTTTGCCAGAATTTCATATCTATATTTTCCACAAAATATAACAGGTTCTGTGGACAAAACAACAGCCAGCCACACGCAGCCGTCCGGCGGGAACACCCGCCATTTCTCCCGGAAAACACCTGACGTGCCAACGGGTCGCTCCGCTAAACGTTACCGAAAAAACAGAATCAGTCTTACCCGATTTAGTGCCTTCGGGACCGCGGGAGAAGCAATGGAAAACCAAACGGACCAGGGGAAAACCTCCAGTTTAAAACTCCGCGCCATCCTCACGTCCACCGCCGACTCTCACACTCTTCTTCTTCGTTTGAATTTCCGGCAGAATACACACCGACAGGTGTATTGACCCCCACCTGTAGATAGATAGATAGATAGATAGATAGATAGATAGATAGATAGATAGATATTACACCAGCTTTTGCGTTTATATGCATTTCCTTGATATTCCACAGGGGGCAACGCTGAGTAAAATTTTAATTTAACTCCTAAAAAGCCTGATTTCAACTTGAATACAGTTGTTTCAATACAGTTTTTGGCTTCAGTGGGAGGTTTCTGTTACAGAGAGCAAAGAATGTATGTGTGAAAAACATCAAGCTCAACATTTGGCTGTTGCCATCTTGATGTAGGTGTTGCTGGAAGAGGCCATATTTGGATATATGGATAAAGACTGGGTCAGTTAATATCAATTACCAGTGAACTGAGCCAGTTTTACCCTCACAACTTGCGGGGTTGATTCACCAAGTTAGTATTTCATGCTACAAGATGGTGCATTTGGACTGGGAGAGAACTGGAGCCAGTGGCTACAGTTTTTTTTTTCAATGGAATTGCATCTTTGCATCAGTTTCATGTGATGTAACCAGATGACGGTTACGCACTAAAGATAATTAAGAGAGATCAGAAATCTGTTTTCCAACACATTCACTGCAAAGATCGCTCTGAACGCACCACAACCAGCTAAAAAAAGTGGCTGTTAAACACCTGTGGTCAGGGCTCTGCCTTAACTGAACACTTCCAGCATGTGTCGTGCACTATTAACAGCTGTGCTGCGCTATCATAACTGTCATTCCCAGCGTATTTCATCCTGGAGAACAACCTCCCTCTGCGGGCCGCGCTGGAGACCAGAAGGACAACTCTGACTGATATCCGGATGATCTCTAATGACAACTTTGGTACAAATTATCCTCTCTTTGCAGCCGCGTTTGCGCCATGAGATAATTGAGCCACTCACTGGGCGATGTGTGTGTGTGTGTGTGTGTGTGTGGGCACCTGTCTCCATGTTTGTGTATCTGCCTGCTTTTCTTCCCTCCCCCCTCCCTTTCTTTGCCCTCTGTCGGTCACCTCTCCTCCAGCTAATGTTTCACTGTCTCTTCCCTGCAGAGCTGCCTCTGAAGCTCATTTATCCTCCCGACTTCTCCGACTCATTCCCCTACGGCCTCCTCCTCGTTGTGTAAGCATTTTTTTCACTTTACTATATTGTTATTTTCTCTGACTTCTGTCTGTGGGGGGCACAAAGGCCACAAGGCCGGAAGCCCTTCTAACATTTCTCAAAAACAAGAGCCACATTAAAAAAAATAAAAAAATGGAATGAAACCTGTCAGACCTATCCCCTGACATATAAAGGATGATAAAATAATATAAACTAACACGCTTGGAACAGAAACAGCTGAATGTATCGACACTCATAAAAAGAAAAATCTGGAAATATCCATCTGAAACTGTATTCAATTAGAACAGCTGGCAAAAATACAACCAACTTCCAGATGAGTTTGTAGTTTAGTCGACAAGAGTATAATAATGTAAAGTCGACTAAAACGAGAAGAAAATTAGACCGAAATCAAACAATTTAGTCCAAGGAATACGAGTTAAATGGTAGTCATCAACTCCAAGGAATAGAAAAAAAAAGTTAATGTTTTGTTTTTTTAGCACATAATGGAGTACAGCTGCAAAGTTAGAGTCGAATATACGCACCAATTTTAAAGGCTTTATTTCCTCAAAAAAGGTTTGAAAAGTTTTGGTATTTCTTTGTTTTTTCCTCATGATATTCGAATTTGAATTTTTTATACCCCATTTGAATCCTCAGAGCCACCATACATAAAAAAAAGTCACGACCTGAAATCCAACAAACAATTTTTTTGCTGCAGTTTGTGGCAGAGTAAGAATTGAATAATTCCGCAATACAAAGGTACACAAACAGGATCCTGGTAGTTCAATGTTCAATTTAATTTATGTATAATGCCAAACCACGACGTTCGTCATCCATCGGCACGTCAACAGTCCAGCTCGAGCCAGTTAGCCATAAACGAATCATTGTATGTGCTTTTTTTCTTTTTTAAATGTGTAATTTGTCTCCCCCCTTTTCTTTCCCTGTGATAAAAAAAGATTTATGGTTCTATGGGACCAAATTGTACTTTCCTGCATTAATTTAAAAAAAGACCATTGAACGAGATAAAATACAGCCGTCCTGCTTGTAGGAGCTGAATCTGCATGGAGGACTTTACAACCCACTTCCCCTTCAGGCTTGTTGGTTCGGAAATGTTCTTAATGTAGTGGCTCCCACAGGGGACATTCAAACAAAGTGGATGTGTGTTAGGGGTGTAATGGAGCTGGGTCACTGTGGCCATCAGAACGGGGGTCTGTCAGAACCTGGTCTCCTGTGGGCCGGTCAGCGGCGCGGCCAATTGAATTGAAGTGATTGAATTTTTGATTTATTGATCAACATGAAGAAACTTTTTATGAACGGAGCTGGGAAGGAGTTCTCTTTCCGCTCTCATGTTAAACACGATTGCGTTTTAAAGAAGAAATTCAGCCAACGCAAAATGACTACGGTTTCAAATCCACAAAAAAACAACCCAAAACAGGATGGACGCTCCGGGTGAGCAGGCGGTGACGGAGGAGTTCAGGCTGGACTGGGACTCGGTGCTGGCGGGGTCCGAGCAGGTCATCGTGGCGAGGCTGGACGGCAGGGGATCAGGGTTCAAAGGTCAAAGGTGTGTAACGTTTTGCTTGATTTGTTTTAAATCCGAAAATGTTCCCAAAAAAGACTTCTTGTTCTCATTGTTTTTTTCCCCTTGTTTTTTTAACTTCACAGGGTCTTGCAGCAGGTCCATCAGAAGCTCGGCACAGTGGACACAGAAGACCAGATCGCAGCTCTGGAGTACGTAACAATATCCCACACTATCATTTTCTAAGTTGGATGAGTTTAGTAGAAAATTCACAATAAATTGAAATCTGTTAGCATGTAATTCAGTCCATCTGTAAATGTTTATGAATAAATTAAGAACAGCTTTGACCAGTGTTATTGAGATACACATGACTAATCGGTTCGACACCAGAGAAATATCAAGCTACTTTTAATTTGCTATCCACAAACGATACAAGAGGGTCTACAGGTTTGCTTTTTTATTTCAGTGAGAGCTATGAGTCGATAGGCAATTTTTATTTTGAGGGGCATTTTTTCTTTTTTAGAACTGTAAAGCATGGGAGTGGAGGGCTGGTGATTTGGGCTGGTTTTGGGCTCCCTTGAAGTCAAGTATTTGAGTCAATTTTGACAAGTACATATCGCTGCACGACATATTGGACCGTCGAGCTCCGCCCAACTCCGTCGAGCTCCGCCCAACTCCGCCAAACTCCGCCCATGTCCAAGACGCGGCCATTTTGATTTTGATTACGTGATTACGTCACTGCACGTTTTTTTTACGTGATTACGTCACTACGT